AAAGACAAAATAGATTTTTGCATGCTCACTCTGAGGGGATGAATCCCAGCACTTCCACACACATTCACAAAGGACTTTGCATCCCTTGATTTACTTGTCCATTTATTAAATGCCATTCAATTAAAACCACCCATAATCCCACTACCCAGGGACATTCACCGTTGGCCTTTCCTGTTCACAAAAGTCATCACATACCATGTGTGTTTTAAATTACTTAAGCATCCCAACTTCTCTGTTTCAAGAAAGTATCCAAACCTTTGCACCACTAAACAGAGCCAGCCAAAGTAGGTTTCTAAAAAACTGTCTTCAATTTCTAAAAACAATGCTTTATATATTAAGGAATGTTGGGCTGTTTTCTGCACCAGGCCCTCAGTGTTTCATTATTCRTCATGTGAGATTAGGAAATATGTTTTTCTGATTTAAATTAAGTTCCAGGGCTGTGGAGATAGCTGTCAACAAATGGGCTCAATATTTTCTTTACTGCAAACCTAAACATCCTCTTGGCTAAGCTTCTATTTTGAAACCTATTTCTGATTCTATTCAGGAGAGCTAAGAGTCCAAAGGCTTAAAAAATAATTGCTTAAAAGAACAACTATTTAAATGATTCTTATTAAATATAAACTAAACACCCAATATTCCAATCTAATAAAAATAAGTATGAAAATGAGTTAATCTGTCACAGATTCATACTGGAGATTTTTGATTCGATCCCATTAGGTCTGAACATGTAGTATTTATGTATATTTAAGATGGTCTGATTCTAGGAACAAAATCCCCCTGAACTACTGCATTCTCTTACCTCCTCATTTTACGTAAAGGGGGCATGCTCTTTCTTAGTGGAAGAGAAACTGTCACCATAACATTGTGTAGAGAGAAGTGGTGGGGTCACCAGTCTTTGTCAGACTTTGCCAAATATGAAAAATGAATGTAAATGCATTGACTTTAATTCTCGTTTAGAAAACAATCCTATCTCTTAAGGCCAAGCATACCCTGATTTTTTTTGACCTTTTGTTTACTAACTAGGATCATAACTAGGATAAAAATGCATTGTTTAAAATTTAGCTATGTCTTAGAAGAATTTTATAAGAATTGAGTTAATTTAGGCACTAGAAAGACAGCAAATGTTTTTAGTATTAAGTTTATGATACAAAAGTCTAACAATTAGTTTTTAATGATGTCCTTCTAAATTGTTTATATATTCCTAATACCTAATAGCATAAAAAAGAAACAAATACCCTTTTAAAATTTCATATTCTTATTAATTTTATTCATTCCTTCAATAGATTTTTAGTAAGCATTTTCCATGGCCTACATATTCTTCTTGGTCCTGGGGAAATGAGGAGAAGAAAGGAAATATTTATTCTCACAGAGTTTATTTGAGAAAGTTGCTACTATAAACATTCAATTTAATAAACATTTATTGACCRTCTATGCAGTATTTTCCTAACTCTAGTGTCATCTCTCTATATACAACCACCAAAGTGGTGTATCTTCTTCCACTACTTACAATTTGAAACTATAGATAGATGGCATTTTTCTCCCCATCCTAAAACAATTCCACCCTCATCTGTATTCCTATGAGACTTTGTGTGCACCTGTCAATAAAACGAAGATCACACTACAGCAAGCTTCTGTGGTTACCCATCCATCTTCCCCTCCATGTCTCCATGAGGATATATACAGGCCCTGTGATGTTTTATCCCCATGAAGAGCACGGGAGCTGAAGACAATGGAGTATATAACTCTGCCCACAGAATAGGTTCCCTTCAAGGGAGAAGGGGAAAGTGAGATAGAATAATTCATTCCTTAGGAGACAAAGAGTTCTTTAAGAGGTGGGCAATTTTTCATGTAAATTTTATGCTAAGGGAGCCCCAGTATAATAACAGTCTTAAAAAGAGGGAGAAGAGTTATTTAACATGCTAAATGAGGAATGTCAGTTACCAACTTTATAAAAGAAAAAGAAGATAACTTTCTCAGGTATTTACATTAAAACTAAGTGAAGTTAGCCAATCACCACTCCCCCGCCAAAACAAATGCCGAATGTCTTCTCTGATATAAGGCGGGTGACTCAAAATGGGGTAGGGAGGAAGAGCAAGGGAGGAAGACTACCTCTAGGTAGGGAAGAGGGGTGGGAGGGAAAGGGAGGGAGAAGGGGAATAGCATGGATGGTGGAAGGAGACCCTCATCATTATACAAAATACATGTATGAAGATGTGAATTTGGTGTCAACATACCTTATATACAATCAGAGATTTGATAAATTGTGGTATAAAGGTGTAATAAGAATTGTAATGCAAAAAATAAATAAAAATAAAAAACCTTGAGGGAATTCAAATGTTTATACATGACAGCCCTCCAGTCTTACACAACTGGAAATAAAGAAGCCCAAGTATGAAATAGCTGTATGTGCAGATAGGCATTTAATAAATCTTGAGAAAAAATAATTCAGAATTCCCTCCATAATCTGAGTTTCCACATAGGTGAATGTTTGGTCAGTAGGCCAATAAGAGTGATATACTCTACCCTACCCTGCTCTACCCTAAAGAACTATCCTATCATGTTCTCATTCWTCTCCCCTTTGCACAGTAATCAGTGTCCCTTGGACACTTCACCTCTAGTTATTGCTATTATACTGAATCTGCCTACATTCCTTATCTAAAGTATGTCTTCTCTTCAGAGTTATCTGCTGGGGTCTAAACTATCTTGTGCACTTGTGTGTAAGCTGTGTGCCTGAAAATCTTGCGTCACCCACAACTTGTAATATCTTTGTTAGTAACTCTACTTCCATCTTATCTTTTCTTAAATGAGTCATAAGGAAAGTGAACAAGTGATAATGAATAGAAATTAGATACACAGAGTTGTATACTATCAGTTACTGGTAAGATGAGAACAGTCCCCATTTACTGAATGCCACGTCATAAATGATCCGAGCCTGGGATTCAAAGATCTGAAAAATTGCCTTTCGGGTGGCCAGAAATGCCACCATCATGTCACAAGCGAAATAAGAATTTTATGGGACAGAAATAGAGCCAATATGGGGTCCTTAACAACAACAAGAAGGCAGGGAAGATAATGTCCTTACTTTTCTTGGTATAACTGTTTAACATTTTCTCTTTCCTATCCCAGTCCCTCCTTTCTCCCAAAAAGACTCCTTGGGGAAACACGGAAAACACTGAATGCTTTCTGAATGGAAATATGTTCCATTTATGGAACTCCTTAAGGTCCTTTCATGTACAATCGACCATTTCCAGATTTAAATAAGATGCTGACTAGATTCATGAGAGTTTTCAGAATTGCTATGTTGATTGCAAACCCAGGACTTCAACAGAGTAGAACTTTAATGGGAAGAGGAACTAGAGACCTTGCTGTACATGTTTTGTATTTTGGCTTTTAATATATATGGTTTTGAGTCACTGTAGAAAAAGCCTGAGGTCAAGTCCCAAATTATTATCACTGTTTCCATTGCTATAGGGACATAACAAGGTAACCAGTTTCAAGAAAACACTCTCCAGGGCTTAATTATTTGCTTATCTCAAGAAGCTCTGTAATTTACCTCCTGTGGTCATCTGATCTATAATGATCACCTTCTTTGTTTGGTTCCTAAGGACCCCAGCTGGATTGGGGGTATTGCTCAGTGGCAAAACACTTGCCTACTATGCAGGAGGCCTTGGGTTGATCCTTAGCACCACTGAAAGAAAATAAGTCCTTTAAAGAACCTGCTTTGGCCACCCTAAGGCAGTGACTTGATGGTGATGACAATCTTTTACAGCCTGAATGGAAAGAGCCTGCAGACCACACTCTGGCCCCCAGAACCATTGAAAGTGCCACGTTTTCCCCCAAGGTTAGGTAATGAGCAATTGTGACCCAGAGGCCAGCCTGACTCAGACTGAGTAAGAACGTTACAAAAACAGAGGAACCATGAAAATCTTTTGGAAGCTCTTGGTTTCCTCTATAAATAATGGCAGTTGACATATTGCCTTTYCCRTGTCTGATGTATTCTGCTGTCTGTCCTATTCTCTACTATCCCCCCTCCCCAATATGATGTATTAAGAACTATGTAATGTTTAAGGGTAACTGATGTGATACAGCAATCTGTATACGGGGTAAAATTGGGAGTTCATAACCCACCTGAATCAAACTGTGAAATATGATGTATTAAGAACTATGTAATGTTTTGAACGACCAATAATAAAAAAAAAATAATAATGGCAGTTAGTTGTAGAACAATGAAAACAAAAACCATGACTTTTTACATGTCAAATAAGATGTTTTAATTTTCTCCATAACAGGATAAAATCTGATTATTTCACACATATTAAAATAAAATAATTTGATTTCAGTGCATAGGTACATAAAAAAAAATCTCCATTTTATATGCAGGCCTTTCTTGTTGCAGAGTTTGAATTTTGACCCAATGATACAAATACACACATACATAAATATTATGGCAACCTTTCAAAAAAAATAATCTCAGAAGAAATGTAAAGTGAAACCAAATATAGATTCCTACGCTATTTAGGCTGCAAGTGTTCATTTTGATGAATGCCTGCACCCTGTAATATTGCTGAGCAGACCAAAGGCAAGAGAAATTGTACTCTCCCTAAATATAATATCTCAGGTACTATCCCTAAACTTTTTTTTTTTAGATCTGGGTGGAAAAGTTTAAAAATAGAAAGACATTTTATTTTTCAAATTGCAATCACTAGAAATTCTAGCTCCCAAATATAAAATGCCGTTATAATTAAATTTACCTTTTCCCCCATGAATTGACTGTGATAAAGTTTCTAGAATGTTCAATATGTTCACTTGGGTTCGGGACTGATTATTTTGTTTCCTCACTGGTATGTATTTTTTCCATTCTTCCAAAGTTGCAGGTTGACTGAGTCACTTAAAAAAGAAAGGTCTTACGTGCTATGTAGACTAAACTACAAAACCATTACATTTCACTCCGATACTGATTTTCAACCAAAATACAATGTCCACTCTTGTCTTTTGTACAGACCTGTAATGCCCGCGGAATGCAGAGCCTCCGTACAACCTGCGCAGACCCTGAACTCAGAGTGCTCCCGGCTCTGTCGCAACGGCTACTGCACCCCCACGGGGACCTGCTGCTGCAGTCCAGGCTGGGAGGGGGACTTTTGCAGAATCGGTTAGTATTTTTGTTGTCATAAGAAAGACTGGGGCATGGGATTAACCTAAGGATAATAGGTTCTCAAGAACTCAGCATTAGGTATTCCTTCCAGAACCATCTAGGGTTCAGAAGACAATACTGTGAATGTCTACTGGCTTCTGAACTTATACATGAAATCTTTTCCGTTTCCTTAATGTAGACTATTCACGTGGGTAAGCTCTTTACAAACATGAGAAAACTTTAAATGACTTGAGTCCCTTCAAAAAGTAAAAAAAAAAAAATGAAAACAGCCCAACCAGGTCATCTCTACTGGTGCTCAGCCCTGGGTCCTGAGCCGCACTCGAGCCCTACCCATGTGCTAGCATTTTCCAGACACCCCATAAATGCCCTCCCTCGCTTTACTGCTCACTTTCTTGCCACACCACACTCGAAACAGGGTTTTTCAGTGAGTGTTACTAAATAAAAAGGGAAAACGCAATTATCTGGGGGAATATTATAAGATTTTTAATTCTGTTTGCCACTCCCTTGGGAACCATTGACTAGGTGTGCAGCTGCTCAGAAAAAGCAAGGGAGATTTATTCAGGGTTATTCTATCCCTTAACATAAGATTTCCTCAATTTTGTGCAAAGTTTAAGTTCTACTTGGCATGAAGTAGGAAAATTGGATAAATTAAAAAACGTAGAGTTTAAGATATAGATGTTAAAAATGTATATTCGACAACCAGCATATACATATTACTTAGAAAATATTTTGACCACTGCTATAAAAGTACCTCTTGCTGATGAGAAGCAAAGCCCCAAAATAATATTTAATAGTATTCTTATACGTATGTGCTCTTTATTGTGCTTTCTAAAGATATATTTGTTTCAAAAGTATAACCATAACTTGTCTATTTAATATATTATCTAACAAAAATAGCCAATATTTAAAGCTACACATAAATATAAATTTTAAGCTTAAATTGCCAAAGTAATTTGCAATATAAATAACATTATGTGATTGATTAGTACTAGGATTGCATACCTAGGAAAGAACTCTCCTAATTAAAACTCAATAGAAATTGCATAATTCCATTATCTAAGAAGAGTGCTTTCATTTTATTGACCCTCTCTGTCTCCCTTTTTGTAGAATCAGTGTCCAAGTATAATAATATTCATATATCTGATAATCTATCATCCTTCAGCTTCCTTTGATTGATCCCTGACAGTACTAACTCCATTTCTTTTACATAGAATTCATTGTGTTATAATTTTTACTTTACATTTTGTCTAATTTCTTATGTCACCTCAAGTATTCAGTTAATAGACATTTATTGAGTATCTTCTAGTGACAAATTTTAACTAAGGGTGAACAAATTATTTTGAATGCTGGTGGCATTATGCATGGCTTAATAAATATTAATAATAATATGTGATATAAGTGAATATAGGTATTATTTAAGTCAATATGAAGTTTTATTTCAGTGAAGAATTTTAATCTTGCCACTATTTAGTTTTAAAATGTAAGATAAGTCAAAATTATTTTATAAAAGTAATCATTCATAAGGAAGACAAAGGACTTGGGATATAGTTCAGTTGGTAGTGTGCTTGTCTTGCATGCACAAGGCCCTCGGTTCAATCCCCAGCAACAACAAAAAAAAAAAAAAAGAAAGAAAGAAAGAAAGAAAAAAAGAAGGAAGATAAAACTCCCCAGTCAACCTCCGGCCCCAAGTAGGTACCAAGTGGCCCTGAAGACTCATTTCTGAACATTCACCCCTAAGCAATAGCAGAGAGAAATAACTCAAAGGCTGTGGATACCACACCTTTGAGGGGCTTCAGCATAGATTGCCCCATGTCCTTTCTGGAATAAACAGGGTTGAAAAGAACAGAGAAGCAATCACAGAGGGTGTCACCATAACCTCCACTGTCTACAACACAATTGCTCGATCTACAAAAAGATCCCATTCTTGTGAGACTTACAGAGAAATAAGGATCCTCAGGCTTACACACAGCACATATCGTGTCAAAGTGGACTAGTTACCACCAAAGTATTATCAAAGAATCTGTACTATGAAACCCATATAGAAATATATCCAACACTTCACAACAATCCATTATACCAAGACCCACCATCGAGAGAAGACTATGGGGGTTAGGGTTGTGGTTCAGCAGTACAGCGCTTACCTACCATGTGCAAGGCCCTGAGTTCAATCCTTAGCACCACATTAAAATAAAGGTATTGTGTTAGTCAACTAAGTCAACTAAAAAAAAATTAAAAAAAAAAAAAAAGAGAGAAGACTGTGAAAAAAGACTTCACAGAAAAGTGGAAGAGAAATCCAACCCACCAGGTAAACAAATCTTAACATAGAGATACAAATATCAAAGAATATGTCAACATGATACCTCCTAAAGTTCATAACTTAGTACCAACTGACTCCAAAGATATTGAAGAGGATAAAATGCCAGATAAATAATAGAAAGAATGGTTTAAAACAAGATCAGTGAATTCCAAAATAACACAGAAAATAATTGGTTGAGTTAATGTAGACACTATAAGATACAGTTGAAAAATTCAATGAAGAGATAGAAATTTTGAAAAGAACCAAACGTAAATCCTAGAAATGAAATCTTAATAAGCCAAATTAAAAAAAAAAATCAGTGGAGAGCCCAACCAATACACTAGAGCAAGCAGAAGACAGAATTTCAGGGCTTGAAGAAAAGGCGAATGAATTAGAAGATTCAGACAGTTGTAAAGAAAAAAATAAGTAACTATAAACAAAAAATGCGGATCTCTGGGACAACTCACTTAACACTCTCAGGTCTTCAGAAAAGAGTAGAGATACCAGATACCAGCTAATGGCATAGAAAACCTATTCCATGAAATAATAGCAGAAAAATTCCCAAATTCTGAGGATGAGATGGATGCATGAGTATTTAGATGGATACTTGAGTATTGGCAGTACTTAGAACCCTAAATAGATATGATCAAAAAAGAACCTCTCCATAACATATTGCAGTGAAAATGCCAAAAATTCAGAACAAAGAAAGAATGTTAAAAGGAAATTGTAGGAGAGAAGCAACAAGTCACTTTTAAAACCAAACCCACCAGAATAACAGCAGGTTTCTCAACAGAAACTCTAAAGGCCAGGAGGGCATGGAGTTTTGTTTTTTAAGTCTTGAAAGAAAATTATTGCCAGTCCAGGTTACTATATCCAGCAAACCTACCCTTTAGAATGGAGGAAGAAATAAAAAACTTCCAAGATAAGCATAAACTAAAGGCATTTATGATCACTAACCCAGAATTGCAGAGGATATTTAAAGGAATCTCGAAAACAGAAGAGGAAGATAAACACAACCACAAGAGCATGGGAAAGAATAAATCTCACTAGAAGAGGAGATATGCATATGAGATACAGGAAAGACACAAACATTAGAAAAATAATAAAATGACAAGAATTAATAGAAGTTTTAATAATAACTCTGAATGTAAGTGGCCTCAATTCTTCTATTAAAAGACAAAGAGTGGTGAATACAAGACAACTGTTTTGTTTTGTTCTGCCTGCCAAAAACATACCTCACCACTAACGATATACACAGATGGAAAATGAAAGAATGGGGATAAAAATATTCCATGCAAATGGGATCTGAAAGCAAGCAGGAGTAGCTATGCTCATACCCAGCAAAGCAGACTTCAAACCAAAATTAGTCAGAAGAGACAAAGAAGACCAGTACATTGTGCTGAAGGGAGCAATCCACCAAGAATATGTAATTACTGTAAATATATATGCAGCAAACATCAGTGCACCCTATTTTATAAAATGAACACTACCCAGCATAAAAAAAAAGAGAGGACCCAATACAGTAATAGTGGGTGACTGCAATATCCCATTTTCACAAGTAGGTCATTTAGACAAAAAAAAAAAAAAAAAATCAACCAACAGAAGAAGACACATTCTTACATTCTTTTAGCAGCTTATGGAACTCTCTCCAAAACAGGTTATATCTCATACCATAAGGCAAGTCTTAACAAATACAAAAAAATTGAAATAACTTCTTGCATCTTATTAAGTCATAATGTAATAAAACTAGAAATCAACARCAAAAGAAACCACAGAAACTATACAAACATATGGAGATTGAACAATACACTTTTTTATGATCAGTGGGTTATTGAAGATATCAGGGAAGAAATGTAAAAATTCCTAGACTCAAATAGAGATGGAAACACAATATACCCTGAATCTGTGGAATATTGAAAAGGCAGTTCTATGAGAGAAGCTTATAACTATGACTGCCTACATTAAAAAATCAAAACAAGATCTCAAATAACCTAATGATGTATCTCAAGGTTTTAGAAGATCAAGAACAAACCAAATCCAAAATCAATAGAAGGAAAGTAATAATAAAAATCAGAAGTTATACACCATGTGTGTATATTACATCAAAATGCATTCTACTGTCATTATAACTAAAAAGAACAAACAATTWAAAAAAAAAATCAGAGCTCCACTAAGTGAAATTAGACCAGAAGAACTATACAAAGAATAAATGAAACAAAGAATTGGTTCTTTGAAAAGATAAATAAGATCAGTAAACCCTTAGCCAAACCAACCAAAAAGAAAGAGAAGATCCTAATTAACAAAATTAAAGATGAAAATGGGGATGTTTACAACAGATACCACTGAAATCCAGAGGATCTTTGAGGACTATTTTGAAAACTTATATTCCAATAAATTAGAAAATCTAGAAGAAATGGATAAACTTCTAGATAGCTGTTATCTACCAAAATTGATACCAAGAGGTTATGAAAAACCTAAATAGATCAATCACAAGCAATGAGACTGAAGCAGTAAGAAAAGTCTCCCAACAAAGAGAAGCCAGAACTGTGGGAATTCACTGCTTAATTTTACAAGGCCTTTAAAGAAGAACTAACCCCAATGCACTTCAAACTATTCCATGAAATAGAAAGGAAAAGAATGTTTCCAAACTCCTACTATTAAGGCAGTAGCCTTCTAATACCAAAACCAGATAAGGAAACAACAGAAACGGAAGGAAGGAAAGCAGGAAGGCAGGAAGGAAGGAAGGAGGGAAGGAGGGAAGGGAGCGAGGGAGGGAGGGAAGAAAATTAGCAACTAATATCCCTGACAAACATAGATGCAAAAATTCTGAATAAAATACTTTCAAACTGAATTCAGCAGCACATCAAAAAGGTCATACACCATGGTTTCATCCCAGAGATGGAAGGATAGTTCAATATAAACAAATCAATAAACATAATAATGCCACATAAACAGAATCACAGGTAAGAATCACGTGATCATGCCAATAGATGCAGGAAAAGCCTTTTACAAAATTCAACATGGTTTCATGATAAAATCCCTGAAGAAAAAAGATATAGAAGGATCTTACCTCAACACAATAAAGGCTATATATGGCAAACTTAAAGCCAACATTATATTTAATGGGGAAAAACATGAAATCATTTCCTCTAAAGTCATGACTGAGACAAAGAAGTTAACTCACTCAACACCCCTATTCAGTATAGTCCTTAAAAGTTTAGCTGGAGCAATTAGGCAAGAGAAAGCAGTAAAAAGATATACAAATAGGAAAAGGAGTCATCGGATTATTCCTATGACAGAAGAGATGATCCTAGGCTTAGAAGACCCTAACTTTCCACCAGAAGACTCCTAGAGCCCATAAAATTAGCAAATTAGCAGGGTATAAAATCAATATAAGAAAATCAACAACTTTCCTATACACTAATTCATAACAAACCTGCTGAAAAAGAAATCATTCCATTCATCATAGCTTTAAAAATACTAAAATGTCTATGAATAAATCTAACCAAAGGGTAAAAGACCTATTCAATGAAAATTACGGAACACTGAAGAAAGAAATTAAAGAAGACACTAGAAAATGGAAACACCTCCCATGTCCGTGGATCAGCAGAATTAATATTGTTCAAATGGCAATATTGCTGAAAGTCATGTACACATTCAATGCAATCTCCATCATAATACCAATGACATGCGGGCAGGATGGTTCACCCCTGTAATCCCAGCAACTCAGAAGGCTGATAAAGAAAACGGGTTTTAGAGGAAATAATTTCATGTTTTCCCCCATTATTCAGCTGTAAGGAAGGATGAAATCATATCACTTGTAGGAAAATGGATGAAAATGGAAATCATATGGTTAAGTGAAATCAGACAGACTCTGAAAGACAAATCTTAGATATTTTCCCTCGGATATGGAATCTGACATGAAAGTTGTCACAGGGAGACTATTAGAGAAAAGCTGAGGGGGATGATGAATATGATCAAAGTATGATATATATATATATATATATATATATATATATATATATGTGTGTGTGTGTGTGTGTGTGTATTTATATATATACATATATATATATTTCATTGTAGTATATATATATACTACAATGAAATCCATTATTTTATATGATCAAATGCACTAATAAAAAATTTAAGATTAGGCTGGGCACAGTGGCACACAACTATAATCCCAGTGGCTTGGGAAGCTGAGGTAGGAGGATTATGAGTTCAAAGCCAACCTCAGCAAAATTGAGGCGCTAAGCAACTCAGTGAGACCCTATCTCTAAATAAAAAATACCAAAAAATAGGGTTGGGGAAGTGGCTGAGTGGTTGAGTTCCCCTCAGTTCAATCCCTGGTACATCTACACACACACACACACACACACACACACACACACACAAATTAAGATCTAAAAAGAACATATTTTTTTTTAAAAAAAAAAGAAAAACAAAAAACTTCTTTTAAGTTATCTATTCAGGATATTTTTGTCCCAAGCAGGAATTTGATTTGTATATGCACATGGTTTACTCCTCTCTCAAACATTTAAAGAGAAATTGTCTTTATTTTCTCCTTTTCCATGTGTCAACTGCAGACCCCTGGATTTTGAATAAGGTGTTCAGAAAGGTGAAAATGACCTGGCCCTTCAAAGTGTAGAGAAATGTAYTCAAGGAATTTGAATCTGTCTATAATAGCTGCACTCCCCAGATTTATCTTATCAGTAAACGACAATTAATTTATATGCCAAATGTATGTCTGCATCTTATTTTAGGAGTAAGTCACCTATATTGCAGGAGTAACCATTCTTTAATGAGGAAATGCTGTGCTGTAGAGTAACCCTGAAAAGATTGCTTAGCACGTCCTTCCTTGGCCAACTGCTCTTACCCCAGAAGTGGGCTTGAAGGTGTGATCAGGGAGCAAAGCACGTGCCCTAAGCCCTCTGCAAGCAGAGGGAAGGAGTTTGAGGGAGCCGAAATCCCAAACTGACCTCACCTGGGTGTTGCTTTGGAGATGCTGCAGCCAGTGGTCTCCCAGCAGGCCTCTGGGGAGCAGAGATCTGAAAAAGATGAAATCTTTGTGTTAAATGAAGTCAGTTCCGTGGAGGACTGACATTGTTTCTCAGGATCTCTGCTTCTCTAGAAATGTCTCCCATTATCCTGAGTTCTGGTCTCCAAATCACCCTGGATCTGAGAAACCTTCCTTCTTACTTACACGTCTGTCCTTCAAATCATTCCTTCTTCTTTCCCTGCCTTCCCTTATTCATCAGATATTTATTGGCCTCCTGCTCGGCSCTGTTTCTGACTCACAGAATAAGAGCCGTGTTATTACTGTTTTTTTTTTTTTCCCCCTTTCCAGCAAAATGTGAGCCAGCGTGTCGTCATGGAGGTGTCTGTGTGAGACCCAACAAGTGCCTCTGTAAGAAAGGATATCTTGGTCCTCAGTGTGAACAAGTGGACAGAAACATCCGCCGAGTGGCCAGGGCAGGTATTCTTGATCAGATCATTGACATGACATCTTACTTAYTGGATCTAACAAGTTACATTGTATAGTTTCTGGGACTGTTTGAATATTCTTTTCCAGTGGGCATTTATTTTTTATCCTGTCATTAAAAAGAAAGACTGTTATCCTGCTATACACTCCTGTGATTTCATTTCCTTTTATTAATTTAAAAATAATTTGCAGAAATGTGCAGATCCTCTGTGTGTATGTTGCACGTTTGTTCACACATGCACGCACACACCCACACTCACAACCCCTGTCCACGTGGTTGCATAACAGATGGGTTTTTAAAATATGTACTTCCTTGTGTGGAGTGATTGACRTAGAAATTCCATTGTAAATTGATAATGGAATTTTTATGTCACCATAAGAGAGTATTTGACTTCCCAGGAATTTTCTGTCTGTAATTACTGAAGTCAACTTTCATGAGGTTTTGAAACATCACTGTGCAATCTGATGGATCTAATAAAAATGGCAATATTTTTATATTAAAAGACTATAATATGAGAGAATGTTTCAAAACTCCCTGATGAATTTCTAAATGAACAATTTGATATAAAATTGTAATCTTCGTTTTTATCAATGTATCCCCTTGCAGAATGATACCTACCCACTTACCTTTTTATTTGGCAAAGCAATCTGGTTACTTTGGCTTAATCTCAAGATGGTTTTCAAATGTTTTATAGTGAAATCATAACAGCCTATTTTTAAATCAAAACTTCCTAAAAGGTCTGCTTTTATTGTATATTTTATTTAACAATAGGCACTGGGTTTGTGTTACATATTTATATTTTTTATTTTATTTTTATAATATAGACATCACCTAGATGAAACACCTTTACCCTGTCCTGTAAAATACTAAAGTTACATTTTTCACCAACTTAATTGGAGAGAAGGGGAATGAGAAAGCAGTCTTTAATGTGCTGTGGATCTAATCTAACAATGTATCCTTTGCCAACATGTAATCATTAACGACGGATGAAAAAGCAAGAAAACAGCCAATCCTTATAAAATTRCAGCATTAAACATTTGTAAAGTGCCTCTCACTGTAGCAGGACTGTCAGAGTATATGTGATTAGAATGTTACAGATTCCACACTGAATCGAACCTCACTGGAAGAGAGCTCACTCATTTATATCAAATCTGGGCTATGTAAGCTGTCACTTGTACAAATTTTTCATATAATAATTCTTGCCAAATATGGATTTTCATGTATATTCTCCTTTAGAACTCAATGAAAATACTCTCTGGCTAATATATCAATAAATTTTCTGTAAATGTTCTGTTCAGGTTTTTAAAAGAAATGACCTGTTCCAACAAGACTGCAGAAAGCCTGGTACACCGTTTTCTTAATGGTTTCCCAGGCCACCTCTTCCCATTTGGATTCTAAAAAAAATTATAAGGCCTCTGTGCACTACTGAAAAAACACGTCCACCCGTGGTAAGCACATACCCCACTGTAGCTGTCCTACTGTAAACATCCACTCCTCTGGAATCTAAATTGTGGAAGTGTATAGATTATGCAGCTTTGGCTGACTTTCCAAACCTGCTTCTTACCTTTAGGAATATGAGCCTCAATTAAATTTTTTAAGAACATTTCATAGCTAGGACTTCTCTGTTGTTTCTAAGTGAGATGCTTACAATTAAAGCACAGTGAACATTTATATAGAAACCACAATGTAGAAAGATTGGTTAAGTACACTGCTCTTGTCTTCCATATATGATTACTTAAGTTTCAAGTGACCTCATGCCAAATGGAAATGGGTTGAGAAATCTTGGTTCAGTGCTTCGGGGACAATAGCCTGCATTAAAAAGTGCATGCATAATTTTGCACAATTTAGATTCAATTGGCAGTCTATTCAAAGAAGTCTCAGGATTAAATGAGCATGGAGACCAAATTGCCCTCTTACCCCAGAAAAGGGGTGGTCCCTTCTAGTCTCACTAACACTTCATTGGCCCAACAGTGTGACAAATCTTGCAATGAACCATGCAGTAGCCTGCATCTGTAGGTTAATAGCAATCTTTTGTCTCCATTGCTTTCTCTTCATAGCCCTTTTACTGAATTCCATCACAGAAAGTTTTACAATTAAAAAAAAAATGTCCTGACAACCATTTTTGTAAATGGACCTTACCATCTAATCATCCCTTATTCAACGTGGGTGACATTAACAAAATGTGAACTTCTTGTGAGGGAGCCAGCTGTCTAAATCTGTCAAATCGTGCAGTTTTATTACACATTCTCCCATTCATAGTTTGAGTGAAAACAATAAGGATACTGCTATGTAGTCAGTGAAATCTTAAAAATCAAACGTATCTTCTTACATCATTAATCTCTCCATCTCTTCCCCCAAAGAAAAAGGTGTTCTATTGCCATTACTTCTCCTATTTAAAATAATCTATATTAAATTAACCAGACCCAGAGTTTTTTATAGGTCTGTTTCCCAAGTGAAAGAGTTTCAAGTGACTTGGAAAAACACATGTACCCCAGGTGTCACTGCCTTTTCTATTGTGAGGGAATAAAAGACCAAATTCTTCTAAAAAGGAGATAGCGAGATCCATGGATATTAAACCCAAGCAAAGAAAGCCCAGCCTTTGGAGTCATTTCTTTCCGCTCTTAGGAGAAAAGTAGCCACCAAAGGTAATTGATGGCTACACATTTTAAATTAAGTGGCCAATTCGAGAAACTTCTTTGACCCTCTTTTTGAAGTAGATTTTTTTTTAAACGCATGACCTCAGTGATTTATGATGAGAGGCAGGTAGGAAGTGGTTAAAAAGGAGGAGTTAGGGAAAAGTAATTGTTTCATCACACAAAAGGCAAAATCTGCTCAGTTCATAAAGTATACAATCTAAAATAGAAGGAAAAGCTCCTTGATATGAATCCTAATGTGTAAGATAAAGGTGAAACAACGAAAGAGACGAATGTGTATTAGGACGCCCTGTCCATTTCAGAGCTTAAGCGTCRGGTGTCAGTTGAACGTGGAACGATGCTTACGGTAGTTTTAAATATTTTGAAATAACCTTTCTACCACTGTCTCTGCCAAACTCTTGTCCTGATTCATAGAACCTTCTTTTCTTGACACTCACTTAAGATAATGAGATGAAAACAGAATTGGCAGATCACCAAAGTGAAAAGGAGGGAAAACTTAAGAAACTTAGGTGATGGCAGAAGTCCTTCCATTGATACTTTTTCTTCTTAGAATTTTATTGCAGTAGAGCGATTCTAAAGTATCTTATATTATTACAAAGAATACTCAGAAGTTTTCTCAGATTAGTGGATCTGTCTCATAAAGAGAGCAAAGAAACCCAGACAATATAACATACACACAGCCTGGCTAAAAACTATTCTCTGCATATCATTTATACTATACAGAATATACAGGATAGTCATTGATACAGAATGATCACTTCTGCACTTATGTGAAAATAATTACCGAATAATTTACTAAAATTTTTAAATCCATTTGTTTTCTACTTTGTTTTGATCTCTGAATTATAACCCTACAAAAAGTCGACTAGGTATAAGATTATTGGTCAGATGCTACATTCACTAATTTAAACCTTTATTTGTCTTAACTTCCTGTTAAGTCTCTTAGCTTTAACACATAAAAGAGGAGCCATGTCTAAATTTTTAAGAGGAAAAATAAAGCATGCCATGGGAAGTTGCAGTGGAGAGATTAACAAATGAGTTTCTGAGCCTTTGTCTAGAACGTTACTGAAGATATGGGTCTTCTCCTGCCCTCTCCCTTCCCTCTGCCTCCACCTTTCCTTCTCTCTCTCTCTCTCTCTCTCTCTCTCTCTCTCTCTCTCTCTCTCTCTTAATCTCTTCCCTCTTCCGTCTCCTCTATTTTCTTTCCGTTTGGGCTAAATAAACCTGTCCTTACTATACCCATTAATTACATATCCTGGGCCAGTAGCTGTGAATTTGGCTCATTATGATCTTTTCTTTATTTTCCTGAAAAATACCCTCTTCTGGTATCACATTTGTTCAAATTCTGTACCATGAGGAAGAGTAGACAAATAACATACTAGATGGATCTATTACAGTCACCTAGAGAAATCGTGATGAGCCACGTGGCTGCTGGTCCAGGAGCTCCCATGCAGCTAGTAGCCACAGGAAAGACACTGAAACAGCCCCAGTCAATAGCTGAAGCTAACAGTCAGGAATAGGAGTAGCTGTTTCATATCCAGCAATAGCCATCTCTAAAGAGTCTACTTTAAAGAAGATTATTCCAAATCTGTGGGGGGAAAAAAATAAGAAGAAATAGTTCCTCTATGCAGACTTCAGAATCTTCTTTCTCCACCCCTGGAATTAAATTTGAACTTTGTAGAGAACTCAGATCAAAGTACCATGTCCAGAAAATTGATGGGCCTGTTCCTAGGAACGCAGCTAGAATACCTTCTGCAGAAAGTTCCTCTGAGACTATCAGAAATAAATGTTTGCTATCTTACCCTCTTTCTCTTTATTGCTCCTCCAGTAATTAATATGATATCAGGAAGGTGGGAAACCTAGAAAAAGAAACATTTAGATATAAAAAACATGGCCATGAGATTTGACAAGTGCAAATGCCAGCCAACTTCAGACCTTCTTCCTCTTGACTATTGCCTTTGAATAGTTTTTGTAAATTGCCTTCAAGGAACTTTTTAGGAAAGTGAGAGGCGTTTGTGGGAGTGTGAGGAAGTGTGTACAGTCATGCCCTTCTTAGAACAGCAGTGTCCCCAGCTGCTAGGGAGAGATTTGCTCACTTACAATTTTCTTAAATTCTTTATTAAATATGAGCCCATTTACCTTGCTTTCCCATACCATTTGTAGAGGTCAGATACCAGTCAGCTGGAAAAAAAAAAAGAAAAAATAATGAATCTCTTGCATAAACATAAAACCTTACACCTAAAATCTGTTGTTCTTTTTTTTTTTTAGCCAGGCAACAGTGCATTTAAAAAAAAATGCTACTAATTTCAACATTAACTCAAAGATTACCTCCCATGTACATCATAAAGTCAAACATTATTTCTCATGTGGGGTTTTCTTTTTTATTTTGGACTATGCAGATTATTCATACTTAATCCAAAAATATATGTGTATGTATACAGGCAAGTTAACATACATGTATGGTGAGTTATCTCAATTGACTAGAAC